CTCGTCGATTTTGTAATTCTCTGTATTCTATCCAATCACCAGCATTGAATATAACTTTATAGAAGGATTAGATATAATATATACAAGGTTATAAATACATATAAATAAAGTAAGTTAATTCATTTTTACCATTGTTTATTATGATTGACATTTTGTCAAACAATGGAGATTCTTTTCATAAATCCTCATGCCATATTTCAGTCTTTTTTTCTTTTTCAACACCAGGTCTGAAATACAACTTTGGCATCAACATCGGGTTGTTGATTATGTGATGAATGTGGCCTTTAATCGAAAATGAATATATTTCTTTAAGTGGTAAAGTCTTTGATAGCGTGTTCCTTAAGTCAATTGTAACGAATTTTTTGGTAATAGTTAATAAGGGTAATCCTCTACAAATCTTTTTCAAAGTTGTAACGCTATAAGAAATTTGCTCAGCTTTAAAATCCGGATGTCATATAATTTTAACAAATTCTTGATATGCACGCGATCATATAATATTATGGTTGTAAATTATGATAATTAAATAAGAATTTGAGCAAGAAATTAAATCTCATATTCATTACCTATTCCATTTTTTGTAAACCATATAAACATCCACATGGCAGTAAGACTTGGAAAGTAAGGTCCACCATCACCTGTGTATCCTGGTAATTCAGTATTATCATCATAAAAATGACAATTACCATCAGCGTTATATGTGAAATCGTTATTATCATCATTGTTTGACTCATCATCATCCGAGCTATCATCATCTAAACTATCATCGGCCAGGTCAATACTAGAACCTTCATCATTTGAATTATCGTCAATTATGTCAACATTTGTATTATTATCATTATCATCCAGATAACTATCGGTCAGGTCAATATTTATATCATTATCATTACCATCATTTGAAAAGTTAATATTCATGTAATCATCATTGTTGTTTGAGTTATTGCTGGTCAAATCGAAATTATTTGGAAAAGAGTTCTCTAACATTAAACTATCATTAATATCCTCCAATATATTATTATACAATTTTTTTTGATTGCTAGAATGATTACAATGATCATGATTATCGTGCATATTAAGTGATGTATTTTTAACATTAGTAAAATATTTCGGGATACGTTTTTCATTGTTCATAAGATCATCGTTATAAGTTGTATTAGTTTTCGTATGCATTGTACTCAAAGTTGAAGGAATAAGTAAATTAGTTCTTTCTCGTAATGTTACAGAGGATTTTAACTTTCATTGTAAACCGAGTGGCTTACGAAGAGTCGGATATATTTTTTTGAAATTAGCTCGTTTTGGCATGAGAAAAATCTATTGTTTAGGTTTTTAAAATAAAAAGAATAAAGATAAAAAGATCAATGATAAAAAAGGATCAATGATATTTATACTATATGACTCGTCATATGATTGATTAATTAATCCTATATAAAGAATATTTTTAAATTGATTAGTAATCTATCATTGATACACTTTTTATCCTTTTTAAGGTATCCCATTCCAATAATAATGAAAAGAAGTACCCGTTCAAAGCCTAAAATTCTTAATAATATCAAGCCTCTTGCTAAATACAATAATACTACTTCAAATCGAAGTTCTAAAGGTTAAAGCTCTGATAGTCAAACTATACAAGGATCAAATCCTAAACGCCGTAAAACGAAAGTGTCGAATGTTGAGGAATTAGTACTGAATGTTGAGGAATTGGGTAAACTTAGTTTAGTTTTTTATGAATACAATATATGTAACATGAAAAAAGATAATTTTGATTGTTTTTATTAATATAGAAGAAAATGTTGATGTGGTGGAACCTGAAACTGTATTTAGTGAAAAACAACCTGTTTTAAATGAAGATAACGAAGATGATGATTTCCTTTTTAAAAATCCTGATCCAAATATGGTAAAGCATGTCTTACGATATGTACCTTTGAACGATCGAGCAGAACAGTATCAAGAAATAAACAAATCTGACGATATTATGCAAGATTCTACTCAAAGATATCAAAAATTGGCAACACTGATTTTATCAACTTCGCAAAATGCAAACAACTCCCAATTGAATATTTCAACAAATCAAGTATGATATCGATACTATTG